ATATACCACATCTTCTTTATCCATTCATCTACTGATGGACACTTAGGTTGCTTCCATTTCTTGACTACTGTAAATAGTGCTGCAATAAAACATAGGAGTGCATATGTCTTTTTCAAACTGGGCTCCTGCATTCTTAGGGTAAATTCCTAGAAGTGGAAAATCCTGGGTCAAATTATATTTCTATTTTGAGTTTTTTGAAGAACCTCCATACTGCTTTCCACAATGGTTGAACTAATTTACATTCCCACCAGCAGTGTAGGAGGGTTCCCCTTTCTCCACAGCCTTGCCAACATTTGTTGTTGTTGGTCTTTTGGATGGCAGCCATCCTTACTGGTGTGAGGTGATACCTCATTGTAGTTTTAATTTGCATTTCTCTGATAATTAGTGATGTGGAGCATCTTTTCACGTGTCTATTGGCCATCTGAATTTCTTCTTTGGAGAACTGTTCAGCTCTTATGACAATTTTTTGATTATATTATTTCCTTTTTGTTTGTTGAGGTGTGTGAGCTCTTTATATATTTTGGATGTCAACCCTTTATCGGATCTGTCATTTATCAATATATTCTCCCATACTGTAGGATGTCTTTTTGTTCTATTGGTGGTGTACTTTGCTGTACAGAAGCTTTCAGTTTGATGTAGTGCCACTTGTTCATTTTTGCTTTTGTGTCCCTTGCCTAGGGAGATATGTTCATGAAGAAGTCGCTTATGTTTATGTCCGAGAGATTTTTGCCTATGTTTTTTTCTAAGAGTTTTATGGTTTCATGACTTACATTCAGGTCTTTGATCCATTTCGAATTTACTTTTGTGAATGGTCTTAAGCAATGATCCAGTTTCATTCTCTTACATGTAGCTGTCCAGTTTTGTCAACACCAGCTGTTGAAGAGGCTGTCATTTCCCCATTGTATATCCATTGCTCTTTTATCATATATAAATTGACTGTATATGTTTGGGTTAATGTTTGGAGTCTCTATTCTGTTCCACTGGTCTGTGGCTCCATTCTTGTGCCAGTACCAAACTGTCGTGATTACTGTGGCTTTGTAGTAGAGCTTGAAGTTAGGAAGCGAGATCCCTCCTGCTTTATTCTTCCTTCTCAGGATTGCTTTGGCTATTCGGGGTCTGTGGTTCCATATGAATTTTAAAACTATTTGTTCCAGTTCGTTGAAGAATGCTGTTGATATTTTGATAGGCATTTCATTGAATCTATAGATTGCTTTAGGCAGGATGGCCATTTTGACAATATTAATTCTTCCTAGCCAAGAGCATGGGATGAGTTTCCATTTGTTAGTGTCCTCTTTAATTTCTCTTAAGAGTGTCTTGTAGTTTTCAGGGTATAGGTCTTTCACTTCCATGGTTAGGTTTATTCCTAGGTATTTTATTCTTTTTGATGCAATTGTGAATGGAATTGTTTTCCTGATTTCTCTTTCTGCTAGTTCATCATTAGTGTATAGGAAAGCAACAGATTTCTGTGTATTAATTTTGTATGCTACAACTTTGCTGAATTCTGATATTAGTTCTAGTAGTTTTGGAATGGAGTCTTTAGGGTTTTTTATGTACAATATCATGTCATCTGCAAATAGTGACAGTTTGACTTCTTCTTTACCAATCTGGATGCCTTGTATTTCTTTGTTTTGTCTGATTGCCATGGCCAGGACCTCCAGTAATTCGTTGAATAACAGTGGGGAGAGTGGGCATCCTTGTCTTGTTCCCGATCTTAGAGGAAAAGCTTTCAGCTTCTTGCTGTTAAGTATGACGTTGGCTGTGGGTTTGTTATATATGGCCTTTATTATGTTGAGGTACTTGCCCTCTATACCCATTTTGTTGAGAGTTTTTATCATGAGTTTTAAGCATGTTAAATTTTGTCAAATACTTTTTCAGCATCTATGGAGATGATCATGTGGTTTTTGCGGAACAAACATTTTTTGTCTCTGAATATTATTACATGTATCTAATACCTTAATCTAAAGCAAACACGTAGGGAAAATGAAGGACACAAGCTTAAGATACTAGCTGATAAGCTGAGGCTGGCACATAGGAAAGATGGAAAGAAGCTGGTTCCTAGATAATGTCATTGAGGCACTGAGTTAACTATCCTTGGAACTGTTTTGCCTCTGGACTTCTTGTTTGCAAGATAACTGATTTAAAAATGTGGAAATGGCTGAGTGAAAGAGTTGGGGCAAGGGCAGTAAAGATCTGGCCTTTCTTATCTTGAAGCATAGGAATCTTGAAGAGGCAGGGAAGGGAAAGATAATTAGAACACAAAATACATAAATTGGAGCCTCTTACTGAGTGCTTTCGAACAAGTGAGTCAATCTGGAATAAATGTAATATTTTAAGTGGTTTCTTCCACCCAAGTCTGTTTTTTAAAACTCACATAGATGACATTAAAATTGAGAATTGTGGAGTTGAGCAGAATACCAAGAGTAAATGCCAAGAATTCTATAAATGTAAGAGTAACTCTAGATTCTTAGCTACCACTGCAACATTGGCATCATCTTCTACTTTATTTGAATTAGAATCTCAAGCTCCACCCAGTTTGACTTAATCAGAATCTGCGTTTTTAACAAGACTCCCAAGTGTTTCATAAGCACATTAAAATCTGAGAAACATTTTACAAGGCAAAATTTTTGGATCTAGCACATGGAATTGACAAGACGAAAACAGACTGAAAGCTTATTAAATTCTTAAGGGAAATGTATTCCCATTGGATTTCTATTACTTGCTGCTTAATGCAAACTCATTGATATAGAAGAGATAGTTTTTGAATGGAAGAGAATTAAATGTATTTATAATCTCTTTTCTTAAGCAAATATATTTGGATTATTAAGTCCGAAAACTACCAAGAGCCTTAACATAATAATTCTGGAAGATAAGGAAACAAGAATAGAGGCTTTGGAACACAACGTTTAAATGACTGCTAAAGAAGACAAAGTAAATATCACATGAGAGGGGACATGATCAACTAACAAATTAAAGCAATTCAGTGTCATATCCAGGCACTAGCTATGTACCAGGGATAAAAATATGAATGGCATAATCCTTGCCTTAAGGAAACACACAGTCTAAATTAACAGTAAGCCAGGTTTCAGATCAAAATGAGAAGAACCAAACAAAGAATATGCTTTTGGTAGTCCTTGGCATGCATATCTCCAAACAATAAGTAGAAGCCTCACGTGGGCATTTTTAAAAACTTTTCCACCATACATTCCTCTTCTGCTAACAGCATTGCAAATTTCCTTTGAGGTGCCAGCTCTCCTCCATTTTCCATGCATGTGGATCAAGTTAAGCTACACCATTGCTCCAGAGTAGATGAGCTACAGGCCTGGCCAATCAGAACATGAATAATATACTATAATATTGTTTCCAGCTATCATCTCCACCCTGCTCCCAACTCCCACAAGAAGAGTATGCAGCTGACCCTTGAACAACATGGGGCTAGGGGTACCAAACCCATGCACAGTTGCAAATACCCCTGCAGTTTGACTCCCCAACATTTTAACTACTAAGAGCCTATTATTGACTGGAAGCCCTACCAATAACATAAATAGCCTATTAACATGTATTTTGTATATGTCTAATATTACTGTATTCTTACAATAAAGTAAGCTGGAGAAAATGTTTTTTCACGAGTCAAGTTGTTCAAGAATTAAACATATGCTTTTTCCATAGTGCTTAAGATGTTGCATTATAGATGGAAAATAGTAGAGTGGAAGAAATTATCTAGAGTTTTAAGTCTGGAAAACCAGAAAACTTATTCCATTTCTAGTGACAGAAACATCAATAAGTGAAGAACATTTGGGAAGGAAGATGAAGAATTCAATTTTCCATAATGAGATTAATTAAAAATGATACTTATTATTTCTTTTGTATTATAAAAGTAATGCTTGGTTTTGTAGATAATTTTGAATATAGGGGAAAACAGAAAGAAGACATTTATAATAACCCTGTTAAAATTTCGATGTGTTTCCTTTTCATTTTTTCTCCCTCACACGTAAATATATAAAACCAAAGTGGGATTACATCTTATACATATTCTTGGATCCCATAATTTTCATTTAACTTGATAAGTGAGTATTCCACTTAAAAAAAAAAGAAATCTTGAAGGTAAGATTTATAATGTCTAGATACATGCATACGTATTTTAAAATTTACCCAACTTCACTTATTGACAGATTTCTTACTATTTTTATAAAACTACAAATGTAACTAAAGTAAGAATATTTATATTGATCTGGATATACCTCTAATATTTTCTTAGGATAAAAATCTAGAAATGGAATTATCAGACCACAGAGTATGAACTACTTTAAATCAATGTAGAGATGCACAGTGATTTCTCAATAAGGTCTTCCAGGTAAAACATTAACAAGAATATAGGTATGTAACTCCTTATTTTCTCACACCAAATATTTTCACAAAAGTGACATATCTACACACACACACGTTACGGCATCAAATTATTAACAGAAACTGGAAAACTCCACTAAGTAGTATTTTAACAGAATAGAATAAGGATAAGCTTTCTGTCACGAGACACAACAAGCAGAAAGTCAGCATGACCAGTTTTCTTCCTCACCTAGGTGGGCAGTGTAAGCAGAAGGCTCGCACAGTGCGGTTTTGCACCAAGAAAACCGAAGTTACTCAATATATGTGGAGAAAATGCAGCCAGAAGAAGGACCATTGCTTTGAAGACACAGAATAACCTCTCTCAGAAAAAAACTTACTCTTCAAATTAGGAGTGTAATTAAACATTCTTATGCAGTTGTCAAAAGGATATGGCATCTATAAAACCACAGCACACAATTAGGAAAAAAACCTGAGTTTTGCGAAGACCAGATATTTCAAAACACACAAACGTGATTTGATCACTTAAAAAATATATTGAAAAGACTGAATCTCATGTTGGATAGAGCAGAAAATTAAATAATAAAGAAAACCCCCACAACGTCAATTTCAGATAGAGAAATTAAAAAATGAGGAAAATAATATCAGGAGCTCCTCACCAACGCCGTCACGCGGTCCCAGCTCTGCAGCCCGCGGAGGCCGGGCCTGCGCGCGGGGCATGCCGGGCGGCGGCGCCGGGCCTGGGCGCGCGTCCCGGCGGCGGTGACGGCCCTGCGTTTCCGGCGCCGTGCTGCCGGGCTGCACCTTGCAGCCGCTGTCTGTGAAGACCAAGGGGGCAAGTTTGCAGACAGCAGTATGTTGGGAAGCTCAAGTTTGCCTCCTCGGAACTTTCCCTGGGTCCAAGAAGCTGGTTTTGGCCGCACGAAAGCTGCCGTAATTCTCAGGCGGGTGGATCTGTGTTACCGCGCGCACGAGGACAGAGCAGAAGGTGCTGCGGTCGCCATCACAGGATGTAATCCCTTGTCCGGCGGGGGCTGAGGAAATATTAGAGTCACAGAGAACAGATCTAACAATTGACCCAACAGTTCCATAATAGTAATCTTAGAGGTGAATAAACCGACAAAACAGGCTCTCTGGACTAGCAAGACTCACTGGGAACCAGAAAAGCCTTTATCAACATAACTGTTACATGTATGGTGTGATCCTGGACTGAATATTGGACTAGGAGAAAAAAAGTTATAAAGAACCCTTTTGTAAAAGTAGCATTTCACATAAATGTTAGGTACATGTTACTGTATCAATATTAAATTTTATGCATTGGATGTATTATGGGAAAATGAGAAGTCTTTGTTCTTAAAAGATAGAGGCTGACATACTTAGGAGTGAAAGGTTATGATATCTGTAGCTTTCAAAATAAACGAGAGAGCAGCATGTGCAAAAGATGAATTTAGGTGAAGAGTAGAAAACTATTCTTGGAACTCTTCTGTAGGTTAAAACTTTTTAACAAAATTTTAAAAATATGAAACAATTTCAAATATAATGGGATAACAAGTGAAAAGTTTGATTGCAAAAATATCTATAGACATTCAGGAAGAAAGCAAACAGAAGCAAACTGACAAGAGATTAGCATCTGCAATATACAAGCAGAAAAAAGTGGAGCAAGACCTAAGACTGGCATATTCAAGTCTTAGAAAAGACTTAACGAAAGCTTGGAAAATACATCTTTCCTCAGATGGAGGTAAGACCAGGTTTCAAGCCAACTGAAAATTAAATGAATAAAATATAATTAAAATTTGAGAGAGCCAAAGTATGGGGGAAGGAATACTTTTTTTTATTGAGATACATAGAATAAAGTGCACAAATCTTAGTGTACAGCTTGATAAATTTTGACGTGTATACCCTCATGTATCCATTATTCACATCAAGATATCAAACATTCTCACTAATTTGGGAGGGTAGGGCAAAATGCTTTTAAAAGAAAATATATTACAAAAAAAGCACTAACAATCTACTAATATAGTCAGATTTTCTAATTGAGCTTAGTTCAGTATACATAGTATTTCCTGGAAATTACCTTTCCTTTTTTGCTTAGAATCCACATCTGATGGTAAATCCCTCAAAACATTCTCATTTTTTATATTTGGATTTTGTCTCGTTAATAGATTTGTAATAGATTGCTTAATTTTTGGCTTTTTCAAATACTCCTATCTCCAGTATATGTTGAGTAGAAGCAGTGATAGTGGACACTGTTATCTTCTCTAAACCTCAAGCATAATTCTGCAACACTGGAACATTGATGTTTGACAAAGTTTTCTCTAGGACCCTTTGCTTTTTCAGTTATTGGGGTTACTGCTGCTTCTGTGAAATGAGGTTTCAAGTCTATTGCTCATTTTTCTATCGAATTGTTTATCTTGTTCTTATAATTTATAGGGTTATTTGAATATTCTAGATACTAATCATTTCTTAATGATATAGATTGGAAATACATTTCTATTCATAGCTTGTCTTAACATTCTCTACATTATGTTATCTGATGAAAACTAGAATTTTAATGTAGCTTGACATCATCATCTTTTTTATGGTTTATGCTTTTTATTTCTTGCATAAACAATGCTTCCATATGCCAAGATCATCAGTTATTTTGTCCTATTACCATTATTTTCAAAATTTGCCACTTATGTAAGTATTTAATCCACTTGAAATTTTTTGGATGTATCATAGGTAATGGTCAAGTTTTATTATTTCCAAAAAAATAAACTAATTGTCACAGAATCATTTATTGAAAATTCAACCATTCCCCACTGATCTGAAAGGTTATTCTGCAATATTGGAACATTAAAATACAGTGTTTAGCATTAAGTGTGATGTTTCCTATAATCTGTTATATATACATATATTTTTAATTAAGGTATTAATATACAATCTCATGAAGGTTTCACATAAACACCATTGTGGTTTCAACATTCACCCATATTCTCATGTCCCTCCCACCATCCCATTGCAGTCACTGTCCATCACCATAGTAACACGCTGTAGAGTCATTACTTGTCTTCTCTGTGCTGTACTGCCTTCCCTATGTATATTGTGAGTGCTGATTATAATGCCCCTTAATCACCTTATCCCTTCCCCTGGCCCCCACTGCCATCCCCAGCCCTCCCTTTGGTAACCGCTAGTCCCTTCTGGGCGTCTGGAGTCTGTTGCTGTTTTGTTTATTCAGTTTTCCTTTGTTATTATACTCCACAAATGAGTGAAATCATTTGGTACTTGTCTTTCACAGCCTGCTTTATTTCGCTGAGCATAAATCCCTCTAGCTCCATCCATGTTGTTGCAAATGGTAGGATTTGTTTTATTTTTATGTCTGAACAATATTCCATTGTGTATATGTACCACCTCTTCTTTATCCATTCATCTACTGATGGACACTTAGGTTGCTTCCATATCTTGGCTATTGTAAATAGTGCTGCGATAAACGTAGGGGTGCATATGTCTTTTGAATCTGTGATCTTGTTTTCTTCAGGTAAATTCCTAGGAGTGGAATTCCTGGGTCTAATGGTACTTCTATTTTTAGTTTTTTGAGGAACCTCCATATTGCTTTTCACAATGGTTGAACTAATTTACATTCCCACTGATAGTGCAGGAGGATTCCCCTTTCTCCATATCCTCACCAGCATTTGTTTTTCCTTGTCTTTTGGATGTTGGCCATCCTGACTTGTGTCAAGTGATATCTCATTTTTGTTTTTCATTTCCTTGATAATTCGTGATGTGGAGCATCTTATCATGTATCTGTTGGCTATCTGAATTTCTTCTTTGGAGAAGTACCTCTTCAGATCCTCTGCCCATTTTTTAATTGGGGTATTTGCTTTTTGGGTGTGGAGGCATGGGCTCTTTGTATATTTTAGATGTTGATCCATTATCAGATATGCCATTTATGAATATGTTCTCCCATACTATAGGATGTCTTCTTGTTCTGTTGACGTTGTCCGTTGCTGTACAGCTTTTTAGCATGATGTAGTCCCATTTGTTCATTTTTGCTTTTGTTTCCATTGCCTGAGGAGATGCATTCAGGGAAAAGTTGCTCATGTTTTTGTTGAAGAGATTTTTGCCTATGTTGTCTTCTGTGATTTTGTGGTTTCATGACTTATATTCAGGTCTTTGGTCCATTTCAAGTTTACTTTTGTGTATGGAGTTAGACAATAATCCAGTTTTATTCTCTTACATGTAGCTGTTCAGTTTTCCCAACACCAAGTGTTGAAGAGGCTGTCATTTCCCCATTTTATATCAATGGCTACTTTATCATATATTAATTGGTCATATTTGTGTCAGTTTATATAAGGACTCTCTATTCTGTTCCATTGATCTATGGGTCTGTTCTTGTGCCAGTACCAAGTTGTTTTGATTACTGTGACTTTGTAGTAGAGCTTCAAGTTAGGGAGAGTAATCCCCCCAGCTTTATTCTTCCTTCTCAGGATTGCTTTGGCTATTTGGGGTCTTTTGTGGTTCCATATGAATTTTAGAAGTATTTGTTCTAGTTCATTGAAGAATGCTTTTGGTGTTTTGATAGGGATTGCATTCAATCTGTAGATGCTTTAGGCAGGATGGCCATTTTGACAATATTAATTCTTCCTACCCAGAGCACAGGATGTGTCTTTATTTATTGGTGTCTTCTTTAATTTCTCTCATGAGTGTCTTGTAGTTTTCATGGTATAGGTTTTCACCTCCTTGTTTATGTTTATTCCTAGGTATTTTATTCTTTTTGATGCAGTTGTAAATGGAATTGTTTTCCTGATTTCTCTTTCTGCTAGTTCATCGTTAGTGTATTGGAATGCAACAGATTTCTGTGTATTAATTTTGTATCATGCAACTTTGCTGAATTGAGTTATTAATTCTAGTAGTTTTGGAGTGGATTCTTTAGGGCTTTTTATGTGTAATATCATGTCATCTTCAAACAGTGACAGTTGAATTTCTTCCTTACCAATATGGATGCCTTTTATGTCTTTGTGTTGTCTGATTCCTCTGAGTAGGATCTCCAGTACTATGTTGAATAAAGTGAGGAGAATGGGCATCTTTGTCTTGTACCCAGTCTTAGAGGAAAAGCTTTCAGCTTTTTGCTGTTAAGTATGATGTTGGCTGTGGGTTTGTCATATATGGTCTTTATATGTTGAGGTACTTGCCCTCTATGCCCATTTTGCTCTTGGGTTTCTTGATTCTTCCTATTGTTTTTTTCTTCTCTTGAATTTATTTCTGCTCTGATCTTTATTATGTTCCTCCTTCTACTGAATCATACCTCATTTATTCTTCTTTTCTAGTTTCATTACTTGTGAGTTTAGACTGTTCATTTGCAATTGTTCTTTCTTGAGGTAAGCCTGAATTGCAATATACTTTCCTTTTAGAACTGCCTTCACTGCATTCCACAGGTTTTGCACTGTTGATTTGTCATTTTCATTTGATTCCATGTATTGCTTGATCTGTTTTTATTTGGTCATTAATACATTGATTATTTAGAAGCATATTGTTAAGCCTCCATGTGTTTGTGGGCTTTTTTGTTTTCTTTGCATAATTTATTTCTAGTTTCATACTTTTGTAGTCTGAGAAGGTGGTTGGCACAGTATCAATCATTTTGAATTTCCTGGGACTCTTTTAGTGGCCTCGTATGTGATCTATTCTGGAAACTGCTCCATGTGCACTTGAGAAGAA